TTTTCTTTACCTAGGTGATAATTCAGGTCATTGAAGGAGAAATATTCTTTAGACTGGCTTTTATGCTTTCATTTTCTGAGCTGTCGCTTTTCTATTTTTAAGCTGTTATAATATATCTTGCTGAGAGAAATATCAAATATGGTAAATCCTGATCTCTAGCTCCCTCATCACCTCCGCCCATACTCTTCTCCAGGACCCCTCCAGAGCCTCTCTCATCCTTTGTAACTCTCTACCCCACTCTCTGACAGCATCTCCTATTCTGTATGCCTTTAGGCAATCCAGTCCTCCAAAGCTGATCTCTAAAAGTGACACTAAACTCATTTTTTTTATATCAATTGTTTTAAAATATCAACTACCATGGCTCATTTTTTTTTAAGTCTCTTAACTTTGTTTTCAGGCGTATTTTTTGTTTTGTTCATGCTCTCTATCCGTCATTGATGCACCTCACAAGTGTAGAGTGAGCAGTGCCATTATTTCTGCTCACATGCTCTGCTCTATGCTTACAATTCCCATAGAACTGAATGTGGCTGCAGGTAGATGTGTTGTCCTTCTCGGGGGCAAGCAGTAAACGGTGGCTACAAATATACACACAAAAAGGGGGGAGAATAAAGAATGAATGTAGCCACCTTAGAACAGGATGTCTAAGAACAAGAAAAAGCTTCCATTTGGGAGATGAAACAAAGGAAGGAGCCAGGGTTGTGGGGAAGAGGCCCTTGTCCTCATCAACATGCTGGGGGGGGGGGGGAGGGGGCTCAGTAGTCCTTTTCCTCATGTTGAGGGCATATGGCCTGCTATGGCCAGCCAGGCTTCATGCTCAGGTGAGGGTCTGATATGGATTTTGGGGAGGACTAAAGGCCTTTTTTTTTTTTTTGGCATTGGGTCCCCCTTAAAATTCATAGCAGACATGCAGGGCTTGAAATGGCTTGTGTGAGAACCTGCATGCCATTTTTTTTTCTGTTCACAGTCTACTGTCAGTCAGAAATCCCCAGCAAACAGCAGGGATGGGTCACTGGTTGTTAGGAAGCTGGTGGGTGGTAGCTCCTTCCAGCTCCTTAACAACCAACTATTCATATATACTATACATTATTTTTTTTATTATTTCTTGTATTTTGTGTAACTAATCCAGGACTCATTTAATGGATGTATTGTTTTTTTCTTAGTGAAGTGAATTTTACATCTGCAATATTTACAGCGTTTGTTAAATATTGTTCGTTAAATACCACAAACTGATAATGAATTCAGATTTTCAATATGCAATATTTGGATCAAATAAGTCTGTGTGATATTACTTTGTGAATTGAACCCAGCATCCTGGCCACACAGATGTCCCCTGAGTAGGCAGCATCACTTTTGCCTTGAGAAATTTCATATTTAAAGTCTAACTCCATGTTTAACCCCTCGCCCTCCAGAGGACTTCCAACCCCCCCCCCCCCCCCTTCCTGATCAGGCCATTTCTTGCGAGATGGCGCTGTGTTACTTTAACTTACAATTGCGCGGTCATGCAAAGCTGTACATAATTGAAATTTATGTCCTTTTCCCCACAAATAGAGCTTTCTTTCTGTGGTATTTGATCACCTGTGTGTGTTTTTTTTTTTGCTCTAAACAAAAAAAAAAACACAATTTTGAAAAATAAAACCAATATTTTTGACTTTGTGCTATACAACATATCCAGTAAAAAAAATTTACAATATAAAATTTTGTCTTAAATTTTTGCCAAAATGTATTCTGCTCCGTGTATTTGCTAAAAAAAAAATCCAATAATTGTATATTAATTGGTCTATGTGAAAGTTATTGTGTCTACAAATGGTGGAATATATACTGGGATTTTTTTTTTTGTTATAATAATAATGGCAGCGATGGGACTGCGGCGGACATTCTGACACTTGGGTGGACTAACTGCCACTGACATCCCCAATGACACCAATACAGTGATCAGTGCTAGTAAAAAGCACTGACACTTTACTGATGACACTGACAGGAAGGGGTTAACATCTGGGTGATCAAAGGGTTAACTGTGTGCTTTTACTAGGGAGACATGCTACTTTGTATTTCTCTGCTGTGCAAGGAAATACAAAGCAGCATGCCCTTGCTGCCAGGAGAGACACCTGTGTTGTTTACACACAGGTGTCTCCCGTCAGCTTTCCCCGACGATCGCCAGGTATTGATGGGGAATCTCTGACTGGGATCCAGTGATTGACATCCATAGCCGCCAATGGCGACGCAGGTAAGGTGGCAGCTGTCAGCTTTCCGCGATGATCGCCAGGTATCGATGGGGAATCTCTGACTGGGATCCAGTGATTGACATCCATAGCCGCCAATGGCGATGCAGGTAAGGTGGCAGCTGTCAGCTTTCCGCGATGATCGCCAGGTATCGATGGGGAATCTCTGACTGGGATCCAGTGATTGACATCCATAGCCGCCAATGGCGACGCAGGTAAGGTGGCAGCTGTCAGCTTTCCGCGACGATCGCCAGGTATCGATGGGGAATCTCTGACTGGGATCCAGTGATTGACATCCGTAGCCGCCAATAGCGACGTAGGTATGGTGGCAGCTGTCAGCTTTCCCCGAAGATCACCAGGTGCCGATGGGGAATCTCCGACTGGGATCCAGTGATTGACATCCGTAGCTGCCAGTAATAGTAAAATTAAAAAATAAATCCCAGTATCTATACCGCCATTAACCAATTAATTTACACGTATTGGGATTTTTTTTTTTTTTTTTTTTAGAGAAGACACGGAGCAGAATACATCTTGGCCTAAATTTATGACGAAATTTGATTTTTAAAATTTTTTTACTGGACATGTTTAATGGCAGTCAAAAATATATTTTTTTTTCTCAAAATTGTCGGCCTTTTTTTTTATAGCGCAAACATTTTTTTAAAAAAAACCGCACAGCCGATCAAATACCACTGAAACAAAGCTCTATTCATGGGGAACGAAGGGACGAAAATTTCATTTGGGTGCAGCGTTGCATGTTAAATTGTCAGTTAAAGTAACACAGCACCGTATTACAAAAAATGGCCTGCTCAGGAAGGGGGGAATAAAACCTCTGGAGGGGGAGGAGTTAAACTGCAAGATCTTGTAGTATTGTCATGCAAGATGAACCACACGCCATCACACACCTCACCCCGCACATAAGCCATACAAAATGACTCTTGCTGGTGCTGGTGGATCTCATGGGAGGGTTTTTTTTCCCTAATTCAACAGATGCCTGTAGCATTGTACACATGTGCGGGATGAGGTACACAACATCTGGTGAGATCACTGTATGCCGGAAACATGACATCTGGTGAGATCGCTGTATGCCGGAAACATGACATCTGGTGAGATCGCTGTATGCCGGAAACACATCTGCTAAGATCACTGTATGCCGGAAACACAACATCTGGTGAGATCGCTGTATGCTGGAATCACTTAGTGCATTTTCAAAATGGCGGCATGGGCACCTATGCGGCACTAAGAACTGTTGGAAATGAAGACAAACTCACATGACATGTACATAGGTAAGTATCCGTGTTTATTTTCCCTTTTACGTGTTATTGGCGGTTTTATACAGGGTGGGGGGGGGGTGTCCTCTAATTTTAGAGGCAGGTTGGAGCCTCTGTAAGGTTGTTTCTGCTGTGTGTCCCCCATGGGGGGGATTTCTTCTCACTTCCTGTTTTGTCTTGGAGACAACAGCACCCCACTTCCTGTATGGGTGTCACCAGGTAGATATGTCACTAGGTGACATATCAAGGGGAGATGACTAGTACAGGTGACATGATTAGTTCAGGTGACATAGGAGGGGGAGGTGAGCTCTGCTCCGGGACAGGAAGCGAGGGAAAGCTCTCCTCCGGGACAGGAAGCGAGGGAAAGCTCTCCTCCGGGACAGGAAGCGAGGGAAAGCTCTCCTACGGGACAGGAAGCGAGGGAAAGCTCTCCTCCGGGACAGGAAGCGAGGGAAAGCTCTCCTCCGGGACAGGAAGCGAGGGAAAGCTCTCCACCGGCACAGGAAGCGAGGGAAAGCTCTCCACCGGGACAGGAAGCGAGGGAAAGCTCTCCACCGGGACAGGGAGCGAGGGAAAGCTCTCCACCGGGACAGGGAGCGAGGGAAAGCTCTCCTCCGGGACAGGAAGCGAGGGAAAGCTCTCCTCCGGGACAGGAAGCGAGGGAAAGCTCTCCACCGGGACAGGAAGCGAGGGAAAGCTCTCCACCGGGACAGGAAACGAGGGAAACCTCCCCTCCGGAACAGGAAGCGAGGGAAAGCTCCCCTCCGGGACAGGAAGCGAGGGAAAGCTCCCTCCCTCCGGGACAGGAAGCGAGGGAAAGCTCCCCTGATGAACAGGAATACAAACGCTGAGCCCATTCTATTTGAAACTAAAACCAATAGTGATGACATCGATGTGCCGTCCTCTTCTGTCTTTCAGGATAATTGAGGAATTCAGCGAATGTTCTCTGGCACAAAGCGCAACTGTGTTCATTCTTCAGCAGCAGAATTCCTTTCCATTGCAGAATTGGTGTTCCCACAACACAAAGGTTTGCCTAAGATCCCCTGCTCTATGCACACAACCAGCACAGGCCTGACAATGGGGAACCTATTATACTGTTCCTACACAATAATGTAAATAGAACACAATTACCTTCTTCCAGTATCTCCCTATAGAATTCTCTTACACTACAATAGACAGAACGAGGCCATGTTGCTCAATTATCAGACTACAGGCTGACCCTTTCAGGTAAATTCCAGAGCACCTCACTTCACAGACATAACAGACCCCTCCTCCGACTGTTCTCCTCAGCCCTGTGAGGAGCTGTGAATGACTTTCCCGCCCGCCTACGCAAAACACCACGGAGGCCACCCCCCCATCGGTGAGCGCAGCCAATAGCCGCTCGTTCTAGACTCCTTCATTTACAACCCAGTTTCTATTGGCGTTCTCCTGCCGGGAGGTGTTAGCGTGCTGTGATTGGTGGAGGGAGGGTGACGTGCTAAGTGTCTGGCGAGCTTTCACTTCCGGGATAGCCATGGCTGCTGTCAGAGAGCGGAGGGAGCGGGATGGGACGGCGGACGTGTACTCGGTGCTGCTCCCTACCTATAATGAGAGGGAGAACCTGCCTATCATCGTCTGGCTGCTGGTCAAGTACTTCGGAGAGAGGTGACTGCATGCCATAGAGGAGGACCTGTAACCTGAACATGTCATATGTCACCTGGACCAGTCATCTCCCCCCTCCTGTGTCACCTGGACTAGACATCTCCCCCTCATATGTCACCTGAACTTGTCATATGTCACCTGGACTAGACATCTCCCCCATCCACTGTCACCTGGACCAGTCATCTCCCCCCTCCTCTGTCACCTGGACCAGTCATCTCCCCCCCTCCTCTGTCACCTGGACCAGTCATCTCCCCCCTCCTCTGTCACCTGGACCAGTCATCTCCCCCCTCCTCTGTCACCTGGACCAGTCATCTCCCCCCTCCTCTGTCACCTGGACCAGTCATCTCCCCCCTCCTCTGTCACCTGGACCAGTCATCTCCCCCCTCCTGTGTCACCTGGACTAGACATCTCCCCCTCCTATGTCACCTGGACTAGACATCTCCCCCTCCTATGTCACCTGGACTAGACATCTCCCCCTCATATGTCACCTGAACTTGTCATATGTCACCTGGACCAGTCATCTCCCCCCTCCTGTGTCACCTGGACCAGTCATCTCCCCCCCTCCTGTGTCACCTGGACTAGACATCTCCCCCTCCTATGTCACCTGGACTAGACATCTCCCCCTCATATGTCACCTGAACTTGTCATATGTCACCTGGACTAGACATCTCCCCCCTCCTCTGTCACCTGGACCAGTCATCTCCCCCCTCCTCTGTCACCTGGACCAGTCATCTCCCCCCTCCTGTGTCACCTGGACCAGTCATCTCCCCCCTCCTGTGTCACCTGGACCAGACATCTCCCCCTCCTATGTCACCTGGACTAGACATCTCCCCCTCATATGTCACCTGAACTTGTCATATGTCACCTGGACTAGACATCTCCCCCCCCCCTCCTCTGTCACCTGGACCAGTCATCTCCCCCCTCCTCTGTCACCTGGACCAGTCATCTCCCCCCCTCCTCTGTCACCTGGACCAGTCATCTCCCCCCTCCTCTGTCACCTGGACCAGTCATCTCCCCCCTCCTCTGTCACCTGGACCAGTCATCTCCCCCCTCCTCTGTCACCTGGACCAGTCATCTCCCCCCTCCTCTGTCACCTGGACTAGTCATCTCCCACCTGGACTACTCATCTCCCCTCCTATGTCACCTGGACTACCCACCTCCCCCTCCTATGTCACCTGAACTAATCATATGTTGCCTCTACTAGTCATCTCCCCTTGATATGTCACCTAGACTAGTCATATGTCACCTGGGCTAGTCACCTCCCCGACATGTCACCTGGACTAGTCCTTTACCCCTCATATGTCACCAGGACTAGTCACCTTCCCCTCATATGTCACCAGGACTAGTCACCTCCCCTTCACATGTCAATTGGACTATTCCACTCCCCCTCACATGTCACCTGGACTAGTCCTCTCCCCCTCGTATGTCACCTGGACTAGTCCTCTCCCCCTCGTATGTCACCTGGACTAATCCTCTGCCCCTGGTATGTCACCAGTGTCTCCCCACCCCTACACTGCAGCTAATCAAGCACTGATTCTGATTGATTAGCTGCTACAATAGCCAGGGAATGGCCACTCTGAACCTGGAAGTGACGTAATACATGTCCCTCTTGGGCTCCTCCTACTCCGAATGGTAGAGTCATTTACTGTGGTCCAGGGGCTCACCAGAAAAACGGGAGAGTCTGGGAGCCACCATGGCCAGGAGGCCATAACTTCATATCTTTCATGATTACTTAAACCAGAAATGTCATTAGAGGCTCCAAAAATCCAATCCTATCTCATATAACCCACCACAACTCTTATTTCCATTCACACTTTTGCTTTTACGTAAATGAAACTTATTTTGTCTCTTCAGTGGCTATAAATATGAGATTATCATCATTGACGACGGAAGTCCAGATGGGACATTAGAAGTAGCTAAGCAACTGCAGAAGATCTATGGGAGCGACAAAATAGTAAGTGATCTAATGATCTCTTATTATTTCTCAGCTTCTTGTAAACCCCTCTTATCTTTTGATCTGCTTGTACTATAGTGTGCTGAGTTGGCTTCTTCTAATACATACTTTATATTTAAAGCCAAATGTTTCAGGGATGAAGTAGGGGCACCTGATGTCCAAAAGAATGCACGTTTGATGGTAGATTAAAAGGCATTTATTGAGAATAACGACAAGCACATCAAGCCAACGCGTTTCGGGAGAAAGGACACTCCCTTCTTCAGGGCTGTTGCTGCACACTATTAAATGGAAAAGATTCCCAAGCAGGTTAAATATTTCAGAGTGACGGGTGTCGTTCCAGGGTCAGTTTTTCCTCCGAAACCTGGAAAATACATAACTAGTGTGGGAATCTCTCCAGGCGCTCCGTTTTATTTTTTTTTCTTATTGTTCCAAGTGTACATGTGGAACCAACCTTAAGGCCATACCAGAAAGGCAGCAGCCTGAGCCCTGATCCAGTCAGTCTCCAAACTTTCTAAAGGGCCAGTTTACAGTCTTTTAGACAGTGTCTCAATAGTGCCCCCCAGCTGGTGTTCAGTGGGGGGAATAGCACCCCAGGGCTGGTGTTGGGGGGATGGGTTGAATAGCACCCCATGGCTGCTGGGGGGATAGTGCTTCACAGCTGGTGTTCTGGGGGTGGGGGGAATAGCGCCCCACGGTTGGTGGGGGATAGCGCCCCACCGCTGGTGTTCAGGGTGGGGGTGTAATAGCTCCCCACCGCTGGTGTTCGAGGTGGGGGGGAATAGCTCCCCACCGCTGGTGTTCGAGGTGGGGGGGAATAGCGTCCCATCACTGGTTTTCGGGCGGTGGGGGGTAATAGCGCCCCATCGCTGGTGTTCGGGGGGTGAGGAGGAATAGTGCCCCATCGCTGATGTCGGTGGGGGGAATAGCGCCCCCTGGGCCAGATAGAGACAAGCAAAGACCTGCAGTTTGGAAACCACTGGAGGAAAGTGGACAGTTAGAATCTGTCAGGTTTTTATTACTGGGAAGATGTGTCCTTTTTGTCATGGGGACCCGTGTCTCCAAGACTGCAAATGAGGGGAAGTCCAAATGTTTGAGTTTTCACCCAAACAGGACTAGAGGGGAAATCTTCCAATCAGGGCACTTGGTCCAGTGACAAATATCTATGGAGGAAATCCTTTCTCTTAAGAGAAACATTCTGTTGTTCCTACAGAACAGGAAGTGATGGGAAATGTCTCTCAATTAGACAGAGACGGTGTAAAAAAAAATGCAAAAGGTAATGAATGCACCTTGTTGATGTCACTGCTTTCTGCTCCATTCAGATCTGGCACAATGGCAGGTGGGACTTGTAGTCTTCCCATTAACTCTGATAATGGTTGCATAGCTGTGTCATCCATTCACAATTTTTTTTTTCTATGTTGTCTATGTCCCAATTGTATGCATGACAGGAAGACTTATCCTCATTTTTAGGAAATGTTGCTATCATTCTGTTCTTTTCTTACAGTTACTACGACCCAGGGAAAAGAAATTGGGGTTAGGTAAGCCTGTCCATGTATTTACATGTCATGCCTGAACCCAGTAACCCAGTCACAGCTGGCTTTGATTTGTGCTTGGCCTGTGGATTTGGGATTTGCTGCCTTTCCCGGGTGATCTTGAATAGATTTTTTTTTTTTTTTTGTGCTCTTTAGGAACAGCCTATGTACACGGCATGCAGCATGCTTCGGGAAACTTCATCATTATTATGGATGCAGATCTCTCCCACCACGTATGTGCCTGCAGTATTGTCTCTCTCTAAATATTCGGTTTTTCAAATCGTAAAAATAAATGTAATTGCAGGGTGACCTAAAGTGTGCCTAAACCGAAGAATTAAAATGTATTGTATTGCAGCTTACCAGTAACTAGATGGGGTGACTGTATTCATTTTTTCCCCCTTTACCTGATGATCCTGCCAGTAGCACACTTCCTGTCTAAAGGGGACAACACTGTACTGTATCTATGGAGGAACAGCGTTGTCACCCAAGGATAGGAAGTGTGTTAAAAACAGCAGAACATCTGTTTCTCTTAGGGCTGATAATAGTGCTTAGAATAACAATACAAATATCAAAGGGCAGCACAGTGGCTAAATGTTTAGCACTTCCGCCTGGCAGTACTAGAGTTGTTGGTTTGAATCCCAACCATGGCGCCACCTGCCTGGAGTTTGCATGTTCTCCCTGTGCCTGCGTGGGTTTTCTCTGGGTACTCCGGTTTCCTCCCATACTCCAAAGACATACCGGTAGGTTAATTGGCTCCTGTCTAAATTGGTCCTAGTATGTGTATGTATGAATGTGAGTTAGGGACCTTAGATTGTACGCCCCTTGAGGGTTAGGGACCTTAGATTGTACGCCCCTTGAGGGTTAGGGACCTTAGATTGTACCCCCCTTGAGGGTTAGGGACCTTAGATTGTACGCCCCTTGAGGGTTAGGGACCTTAGATTGTACGCCCCTTGAGGGTTAGGGACCTTAGATTGTACGCCCCTTGAGGGTTAGGGACCTTAGATTGTACGCCCCTTGAGGGTTAGGGACCTTAGATTGTACGCCCCTTGAGGGTTAGGGACCTTAGATTGTACCCCCCTTGAGGGTTAGGGACCTTAGATTGTACACCCCTTGAGAGTTAGGGACCTTAGATTGTACCCCCCTTGAGGGTTAGGGACCTTAGATTGTACCCCCCTTGAGGGTTAGGGACTGATGTGAATCTACAATATATATATGTAAAATGCTGCGTAAATTGACGCCGCTATATCAGTAGCTGAAATAATACAATAAATTAAAGCGTAAACCAATCACCATATGAAAATCAATGACATAAAGTCTATTATTGTGCAGTATGGTGCTCTCTTCATCCAAAAGAAGTGGTGCCAATATTCCTGTACGGCGCTCCCCTCCTTTGCTCCCACACTCACTGACAGTTGTTGACTCTTACATGTACATAAAGAGTCTCATGCGCTTGTGTCACACTCGCTGGGTGATCGCTGGGACTTGTGTTCCACTGTGTCTCCTACGGTTAGAGGCTGGTATCCTCACATGTGGAAAATGAATGGCAGAAAAGGGGCCACATAGTGTAAGTCCATTTTTATTAATAAACAATGTTAAAATCAATTGCACTTTCAGAAAAACCGTAATCAAAAGCATTCAGAAACGCCATTCTGGAAGTTGCGCAGCAGCGTGCGTTCCACTGGCCGGATGTGGAAGTGACGTCACGTCTAGTCTCCCGACTAACGCGTTTCGCCCCTCCCACAGAGCGTCTTTGGAGGCTCTAGAACTAACCGAGGGAACACATGTCCCGGTGATCACCAGAGTGTGACACAAGCGCAAGAGACTGTTTACATATAAGAGCCAACAACTGTCAGTGAGTGTGGGAGCAAAGGAGGGGAGCACCGCACAGTAATATTGGCACCATTCCTTTTGGATAAGGAGAGCACCATGGCACTTTATACTGCATGATAATAGACTTTATGTGATTTGATTTTCATATGGTTATTGGTTTACAATTAATATTTAGGGCAGCGCTTTGATTTGTTTTGCATTTTGTAATTTTAAAGGGATATTCACAGCAGCAGCCCTACATATCCACAATTAAGTCCCAATTATATATGTTTGTAGCATTTCATGTACTTAATGTAGCTGGCACAATTTTTAAACACATTTTTTTTAGATGACACACTAAATAATAGTCCTAGCGCGGGTGGTTGTGCTTAAAATAACACCACTGAATACACAGGACAGCACTGGATTTCTGGCAGGATTAAAAGATATATTTGGCACTTATTGACCAAATATTAACATAACATCATTTCAATGTTTTATTTACTATTGTTCATTATCTGTGATGCACAGACTACCTTAATGCTGATATGTGCTGTGTAAATCCAATGTAACATTGGTATGTTTACCAGACCAAATGGCAGCAAATGAGAGAAGCTCATTTTTGGGGGGGTTTTATATAGTTTAAACTGCAAGATTTCTCTGTCCTGGTTTATCACTATATTTATATGTTTCAACTGCTCCTGTTACCTCCTCCTTAAAATAAAATAATGGGCACTGCAGGTATACAGACCCAGGAACAATATAGGGGAAGTGTTGTGTACCTGCACGTCATCATGCTACTCAATGGACCAGTAGATAAATTGTTGGATATAGGTTGCATTACCAAACTTTTAATGTTTGTTTTCTTCTTTTGCAGCCCAAATTCATCCCAGAATTTATAAAGTAAGTATTCTAATTTATCATGTTAAAACAAATTTAGGTTTTTTTTTTGTTCATTTTTTATTTTTTTTACATGGATTACTAAAGGATGTTTCCCATGTATGCAAGTATATATTCGAGTTCCAATGACAGAAATCCCCTTGCTTTGGAGAGCTTTTCGCATCCTTCCTGCTGTGTCTCTGGCACAGGAAGTGAAGGGTAAACTCTTCATTGGATCACAGAGGGAAAAAAAAAGCCCTGACAGGTCTTAACCCATTCCTACCCACATTCAAAACAGGTTTTTTTTTTTTGTTTTTTTTTTTTTTTTTGAGGGGGGGGTTCAAATCTTTAGAAAGGGGAACACAAACAATATAGTTTTGGAGCTGAAAATGACATTTCTGGTGCCTAGCCTGCAGCCCTGAAGGCCCCCCCTATAGCATGCCCCCAGTCTCCATCCACTCCTGTAGCATGCCCCCAGTCTCCATCCACTCCTGTAGCATGCCCCCTCTCTCTCTGGCTGTGTACTGTTGCATGTATCTGACAGCACTTTGGTGATCAGCGTCAGGGCCACACTTGGGGGGCCTCCCCTTATCAAATAAGTTGATCACTATTGCTGTACAATATTATACTTTAATCTGTTCCATAAATATTTCCTCTTCTCTGTCCTTTTTGTTTGTATTTCTCTCATGTTTCCCTTTCACAGAAAACAGAAAGAAGGGGACCTTGATGTTGTGTCTGGCACTCGCTACATTGGAAATGGTGGTGTTTATGGCTGGGATTTAAAAAGGAAAATAATCAGGTTTGTAAGGGAAAAAACGTGATAGATTTAGGCTTCATTCTTGCCTCATGATTTGAAATTGTGGCCAGAATTGTTACAGTTCTGCCTGCAATTCTGAATTGCAGCGGAATGTATGAAGCACATTTTAGGTACCTTTATTAATGGCACCCCCAAAAGTGTGCGACTCTGGCACAATTGTCACATGGTAGAATCATGTGGTAATTGCAACAAACCGCGAGTTTAAAAATCACGCTAACCTTGTCACCCAAAAAGGAACAAGAGCTTCTTTTGGGCTACAAATGTGCATAGTGCAATCCATTGAATTGAATGGACCGCCCTATGTGTGACAAGTAAAATTGCATGAAAGTTGCCCAACAAAAAATCGCAAGCAGGAACGCGGGGCCTTAATGCCTTTTTTTTTTTTTTTTTCCTCTTTTCATGTAAAGATAGTGTAAGTAAAACCTTTATTCTTCGTCCAGCCCAAAACTGGCCATACACTGCAGGATTTCTCTTATTCAAAACCACAAATTGAACAAGATGAATTTTATGCTTTTCCTATCTTTGCTAGACAGTATGGATGGAGGAATCTGCAGTGCAAGTTGATCGAATTCTGGCAGCTGATACAGCTGCAGTTCAGCTGTCAATTTTCTGTTCATTTCCTTTTGTATTTCAGATCAAAGTAGGAGGATACCAATTAGACAGGACATTTTTTTTTTTCTCAGTGAATGGCCAGCTCTACAGTGACTGCAATTTCCTGTCCAGATTCCGGTCACTTCTTCTTAGGCAGCTTTCAGACTGATGTAGTGTGGTCTGGCCACACCACAGGTGCAGCGCAGCTTTCTTATGTGTTTTGAGGGGGTTAGCTGCACTTTCCCAGAGTTCTATTGTGTCTCATTGTTTTGGTGCACTATCTGAAAGTGCATCAAAACTCCTGCATGCTGCATCTTTAGTGTGCTTTCCATGGGAAAGCGTAGCTAACGCACTACAAACACATGGGTAAGCTGTGCTGCACCCGCTGTGCTGTCAAACTGGATCACATCTGGCGGCTGTAGTATTACATTCACCAAAAAATTATGAATTTAGAGGTTGACCCTGAGGCTCCCTATGTCACAAAAATTGGACTACTGATCTAGCTTTTCAGATGTGTGGACAACACTGAAGCAATGCTGTTGACTGGCACTGTTGGTATCATGAATCAAACTCTGTTCTTTTACCAGAACCACTGCTTCTTCTGAGAGTCTGTGGGGTTGATTTACTAAGCCTGGAGCATTCCAAATATGGTGTAGTTTATACATAGTAGTCAATTGGCTTCTAACTTCACTTTTTTCACTGAAGCTTTGACAAAGCTGATTGATTTCTGTGCAGAGCTGCACCAGATTTTGCCATCTCCAGTTTTAGTATATCATCCCTATAGGTTGCTGGGTCATACCATGGCCTCAACTTATGCCTGTGACATGTGCCTCTGGATATGGGGCTACATAATAATTGATGTTCTCTGAATACTGGTGACACTAACTTGCTTTTTTATATTTCAATTTCTTAAATCTGACAGCCGAGGAGCAAACTTCCTGAGCCAGGTATTGCTGCGCCCTGGAGCCTCGGACTTAACTGGAAGTTTCAGGTGAGCCATACCTCCCACATCTTCTTCCTGTGAATAAGGTGGAACACAAACTGAGAGATAAGTGCAGGTTACATTTCTGCTATACCTCCATTGCTGGAGGGCTGAGCAGGAATGCTATTTAACTTTATTATTAGTATTTCAGCTACTTATATAGTGCTGTCAATTTTACGCCGCGCTTTACATATATATTGTACATTCACATCAGTCCCTAACCCTCAAGGAGTGTACAATCTAAGGTCCCTAACTCACATTCATACATACACATATTAGGGACAATTTAGACAGAAGTCAATCAACCTACCAGCATGTCTTTGGAGTGTGGGAGGAAACCGGAGACCCGGAGGAAACCCACACAGGCACAGGGAGAACATGCAAAATCCAGGCAGGTCGTGACATGGTTGGGATTCGAACCAGCGACCCTAGTACTGCCTGGTAGAAGTGCTAACCTCTTAGCCACTGTGCTGTCCCATTATGTTCTTTTTTTTTTTTTTTTTTCTCCAGTCTGGAGGAGGGGGGTGTCTGCTTGCAATATAATTACCGTATCCTTTGTGGTTGGTTAGGAGAGCTGCAGACCCTCCCCCTAATAAAGATTCCTTCCCTTTTTTATCTTGATATTTTTTCTCCCTTCTTTTTCCTCTACTGCCACGCACCTACTACACTCCTCCTACACAGACATACCTATGGATGGATATTTAAAAGGGTGTTGCTCGCTGGTATTTTTTACAACCCCTTGCCACCCAGACAAGGCCCCTACTACCAACTAGTATCGGGTTGGACTCCCTTTTGCCTTCAGAACTGCCTTAATTCTTCATAGATTCAACAAGGTGTTGGAAACATTCCTCAGAGATTTTGGTCCATATTGACATGAGTTACTGTTGCCTTTCTATCATCTGGAACCAGTCTGCCCATTCTCCTCTGACATCAACCAGGCATTTTCCTCCACACAACTGCCACTCACTGGATCTTTTTTCTTTTTTGGACCTTTCTTTGTAAACCCTAGAGATGGTTGTGCGTGAAAATCCCAGTAGAGCAGCAGTTTTTGAATTACTCAGACCAGCCCTTCTGGCACCAACAAAAATGCCACATTCACTCAAGTCACTCAAATCCCCTTTCGTCGTCCCCATTCTGATGCTCAATATGAGCTTCAGCAAGTCATTTATTTATTTATCGAGTTTATATAGCGCCAAAGGGTTTGCTCAGCGCTGTACAATAGAGGGGGGGGACAATACATGAAACAGTACAGTAACATCAAACAGCACACAAGGGGTAAGAGGGCCCTACTCTTTCGAGCTTACAATCTAGGAGGGAGGGGGTAGAGGTACAGGAGGAAACGGCTGTGGGGGATGGAGTGGTAGGAGGAGGGAAGGGCAGCGGCTGTTAGGTGAGGGTGGGGTAGGCTTCCCTGAAGAGGTGGGTTTTCAGGGAGCGCCTGAAGGTGAGGAGGGAAGGTGACAGTCTGATGGATTGGGGTAGTGAGTTCCAGAGGATGGGGGAGGACCTGGAGAAGTCTTGCAGTCGTGCGTGGGAGGAGGAGACCAGGGAGCAAGATAGAAGGAGGTCCTGTGAAGAGCGAAGGGTACGGATAGGGTGGTACCTGGGAATCAGGTCGGTGAGGTAGTTAGGGGCAGTGTTGTGAATGGCCTTATAGGTCAGAGTGAGCAGTTTGAATTTAATGCGTTGGGCAATGGGGAGCCAGTGGAGGGAGAGGCAGAGGGGGGTGGCAGAGGTGGAGCGGCTGGTGAGGTGGATGAGTCTGGCAGCTGAGTTCAGGATGGTCTGAAGCGGGGAGAGTTTGCACTGGGGTAGGCCGGTGAGGAGGGAGTTACAGTAGTCAAGGCGTGAGATAATCAGGGAGTGTACGAGTAGTTTGGTGGTGTCTGGGGTAAGGAAGGAGCGTATCTTGGCGATGTTCCGGAGGTGGAGCCTGCATGTGTTTGTAAGTGATTTGACATGAGGTTGAAAGGAAAGGTTTGAGTCCAGAATGACGCCAAGGACCTTGGCTTGCTGGGCGGGATTGATGGTGGTGTTGTTGGTAGTGATGGAAAGGATGGGGGGGGGGGGGGAAAGACGAGAAGCTCGGTTTTGGAGAGGTTGAGTCATCTTCACCACCTCTAGATACCTAAATGCACGGAGTTGCTGCCATGTGATTGCCTGATTAGAAATTTGTTTTACCAAGCAATTGAACAGGTGGACCTAATAAAGTGGCCGGTGAGTGTATTTTGGTTGTCCGTAGGTGATACTAGAAGAAAGAAAATGGCCTTCAGATCCTGCAGATCACCCATCATTTGAAGGACGAAGCAATTATGTCTAACTTGAGCCAAAACTTTTTTTGCAATCATTTTAGTAAAGCCCAGAACCTCTGTCAGGGTTTTACTGTCTGGTTCCTGTAGGGAAGGTTTCTTCACATCCCGTCTATTTGATTTGTGTAAGAACAAGAAATGTAAAATGTGAAAAATCTTCCTCATGGGTTTCGACAGCAACACAAATGTGTTTGTTTTTTTTGTAGAGGAAGGAAGAATTAGAATGTCTGTGTCCATTGAGAGAATTTCCCTTCATTTCCTACCCAGATGACAATACAGGAAGTGAAGGGATCTGTCCAAAGGAGACAGAATGCAGTTCTTTGGATTTGATGTGGTCCTATAAGTTCCACATTCATGTTACTAGAAAATGGTGAACTGAACTTTTGGTTGAAGGCAGAGTTTATGTATTTGCTGTTACTCATAGGCATAACCTAGGCAGGCTGATTTCTAATCAAGACTCAAAAGAAGGCAAACATGTAATGAAACTATTATTAGTGCCGTGTGCACAATACAAAGGCAAAGCATTCATAATAGAATACAGTTTTATATACAGAATTTTACCATTTCTTTTACAGGTTATACAAGAAATCTGTCCTGCAGAAATTGGTGGAGAACTGCGTATCCAAGGGCTATGTCTTCCAGATGGAAATGATCGTCAGAGCCCGGCAGTTTAATTACACCATCGGAGAGGTAAAAATACTTATCCTGAAATCTGAAAGAGATCTCCACCAAGGTGCTTACTTACCTTACCAAGGTGCTTACCTACCTTTCCATATACTCTCCTCCTGGGTCTGAAATCTTCTCAAGCTCTGGCTTGTCTGTGTAGAGAGTCCCCATTGAGTTGAATGTGGCCGTTCCCCTATCAACCTCATTGTAGGAGTTGCATAGTTAGTCTGGCTGAAAAAAGACAAAAGTCCATCCAGTTCAACCATAGAAAAAAAAAGCTATAATCCTACAGCCACAGTTGATCCAAAGGAAGGCAAAAAAACAAAAAACAGCAAAGCATCAACCAATTTGCTCCTGCTGGGAAAAAAATTCCTTCCTGATCCCCCGAGAGGCGACCGGATATTCCCTGGATCAACTTTACCTATTAATGTTCGTATCCAGTTATATTATGTGTATCTAAGAAACAGTCCAATCCAGGGTGCTTCTCTATTTGTCTATGGGGGCTTACTGTACACAGTGGGAGGCCACCATTGTCGGGCTGCAGTAGTGGGGGTGTTTGATATATTTGATTAGGAGGAAGGTGGGCTGGTGGGGATTTTTGGAAACCCTAACATTTCTTTACTACCATAGTTTTGATCCAATGAAGCAGTGAAAGAATATTTCCATCCAAAACTGTTTTGATAGAGCAGGGAGGGGTCAGGACCTCTGTCAGGTTTTCATTGTCAGTGTCCCCAGTGGGATGATTAGCCTCATTATTGGTACAGGAAGTGAAGGGCTAGATGAAGAAGATGGAGCCTTTTCTAGAAGGTGATCCCACCCGCAATGTTGCAGTACTGGTCTAGACCTGCACTAGTGCGTTACTGTGTGTAGCCTGCAGGTGGCAGCGTTCAGAACATAAATCAAATTTGCACAGACGCCAAGGCCATGTTTTGTAGTCATACACGGAAAGATTTTATCAGATAAATATATTCTTCCCTCCTCCATATTAGGTGCTGCAGTTCTGCATAGCACAGTTTTATATTGAGTCAGTGGGACAAAATGTTCGTTGAGATATTTATACTTCTGAAACTTCCTGTATGCACTGCGCCCACCATTGAATTCGGGGAATTCCCCTGTTAGCAGGAGGTGATTTCAATGTATTATGTGAAAATGGTGCTACCAGATAGTTACAGCTGTATGCTTCTGAGGGAATGATGTTGCCATGTCCCATCCTGGCATGTTACCAAGCTGTGTATACTGGACAACATGACAGGTTTACTTCACAGTCAGCTCTTAGGGGAGCGGGGACAAAGTGGCCAATTAGCAGACCTTAGTGCTGTCACATGGGGTGGGGGTAGGAAGCTCACTTTTTATGCCCAACTTTCCCAAAAAAATTTGTTTTGGATAGAGCAGAAAAAGGTTAAAGAGGAACTTCAGCTGTGTCTGCAAAAAGGAAAAGTCAGTAGCTGACTTGTACAAAACCAAGTCCAGAGCTGCCTTTTGTATAACCCAATATCTGCAGCGCAGCCTTCATTCCCGTGCCGCCATCTTGGATTCAGCACAATATCTGCAAGGCAGCCTTCGTTCCCGTGCCACCATCTTGGATTCAGCACACTATCTGCAGCGCAGCCTTCATTCCCGTGCCGCCATCTTGGATTCAGCACAAAATCTGCAGCGCAGCCTTCAGTCTTGTGGCGCCATCTTGGATTCAGCACAATATCTGCAGCGCACCCTTCGTTCCTGTGCCGCCATCTTGGATTCAGCACAATATTTGCAGCGCAGCCTTCGTTCCTGTGCCGCCATCTTGGATTCAGCACAATATCTGCAGCGCAGCCTTCGTTCCTGTGCCGCCATCTTGGATTCAGTAACCGGCTGTACCTTGCTGATCAGTAATAGCCAGCTCCCCACTTTTGCATTCACGCGATGTGTGGATTGGAGGAGACTCTTAGGTCATACATCCAGTGAGGCTTCTATCTCAGGAGGATGCAGGCGAGAAGGTGGATGTACCCAGCAATCACACCTTTTGCATAGGCAAAGATTAATGAAATCGCTGCAAGTACCTTGATGGATGAAAAGCAGCTTGCTATCCCCAAAAATATTACTTTTCTAATGTGACCTGGTGAATTTGACAGGTACCTGCTCCCACTTCCGCTGCGATCGGAAGCGGAAGTTATCAGCCCCCCTCCCTCCCCGTAGTCTTCTGGAACACGTGACAGGTCCCAGAAGACTACAGGGCCATTCACAAAGCGCAGCGCTTCTCACGCATGCACAGTGGGCACCCGGCTGTGAAGCTACAAGCTGTCACAGCCGGGTGCCCACACTGAAGATACCGGCACCCAGGGAGAGAAGACGGCCGGTGAAACCAGTGGTGGTGGGGAAACCGCTGGACCGAGGGACAGGTAAGAGTCTGTATTTTTAAGAGTCAGCAGCTACAGTTTTTGTAGCTGCTGACTTTTATTTATTTTTTTTTCCAGGTGGAACTCCACTTTAAGCCTTAATCTCTGAACAGAACAATTTGTTTTGTGGTCTGTGAGCCACCAGGGAAGTTTCCCTTTTACTTCTGTCCCAGAGATGTAATGGGAAGTGAGGAAATCTCTTCTAAAGTGAGAACCATTGCCTTCTAAGACCGTTGTCATTGAAATAGGTGTCCTCTTTGGAATATTTTCCTTTACCTTTTGTTTTGGTGACAATTCCAAAATGTTGGATTTTTCACCCCTTTCCTGGTGACCATGGTTACAACGACATATAGAGAGCGTGAATCTACCTAGAAGGGACACAGACTGCAATAAAAGCCTGAGAAGAGTTCTTACAGAATAAAAAAAAGTTTTGGCTGTGCATGAACTTTGGGGAATATTTTGTATATCAGTAAATTTTAACGTTTACCAAACAATTCTTGCGGGTCAATCACTGTCATTCAAACCACATGCACCAGGAAGAGTGGAAGATTCACGTGCATTAAAGGTCCAGTGTTGTGCTGCATAGTCTAACTTCCCGATCTATTTGATTCCTAAACAGGTTCCAATATCGTTTGTGGACCGTGTGTATGGAGAGTCGAAGCTGGGGGGAAATGAGATTGTCTCCTTCTTGAAAGGCCTGTTAACATTATTCGCAACCACATGACCCCCAGAGCGTGGCATCTACCCAATCATTGATCCCTCCCTCCTTATAATGATATCTGACCAAATAGAGGTTCAGATAATTAACATGGTTTTGTAGAAAAGGACTGAAGAAGTAATAAACTTTTTTTTGTATATAAATGAAGTCTATTTTTCAACGTTTTGATTTGGCTGATAATACAATGTTACATGCTAACAAGAAATTTTCACAAATGCTGGAATTTCCACACTGGGGGAGATATTTCCCTGCATGCAGCTCACTTCTTGTCATTTTTTTTCCCCCCATAAAAGAATATTGGCATCTTTTCCTGGTAAGCATTTTAAAAGGTCAGTATATTCTAAGTGAAAATATTATGGAGTTCTTAGGAATAAATCCTTATAATTTCCGAATTCTGGTAAATTGTAGCTTAACAGTGCTAGTGTACAGCCTATCAGGAGTCCATCTTATACCCAGCTTAGGTTGTCTTTTAAATGTCAGGCTGAGTTTGATTGGCTCCAAATATGGCTTTCTGTTAAGTGTTAAAGAAGATAAAAATGCAATCCCTAAAATTTCATTTTTAACACATTAAAGAAGATCTTCAGTCCCTATCATGCTGGCCCCACCCTCCTCAACAGCACGGCTATCTCTGAAAATCTGTCACATGTGCCAAGCTTCCCCGCGCATGCCCCCTCTCTATAACTGTGACATCTTTGCACATGCATGGGGAAAACCTGGCATGTGCACAGATAGGCTAACAGTCTCTGCTGGGCTGTGAAGGATGGGCAGAGTACTTTGACACATCTGTGCATGAGTGGAATCATCATTGAAGCCAAAAAGTTAAAGGAAGAAAAAAAGACAAAAAAAAAATCAAATTATGGGAGAGGGAAGGGGTTGGAGCCAGCTGCAAAGAACTTGTTTTTTTTTTTTTTTTTGGATGAAGTTCCAATTTAATGTAAGTTCATAGGTCTTCTTAAGTCTCTTTACACCTGCATCTTTATTAAAAGAATCCCTGGTTACCCTGACATGAATAAATGTTATTTAGCTATCCCTGGAGCATAAGTTGACCAGAAGAGATCTGTTGCAGTGAGATGTAACAAAGTATGAAAAAAAAGTGAAAATAAGAGATGAACAACATGTAACGCAGCAACACTGTATCCAGCTCCAAATCACATAAGAAACATGGGCAGAGAGATTTGTAGTTACATCTCTGCTACAAAGTTGCTAGTATGACATAATTATAAAACATTGGGCCTTTTCACATGGGCAGACACCGCCAAGCAGATCCGCATGCTCAGTGGGGGATCTGTCTGCTTATCCCCACTGGGCAGGTGGGTGACAGATCCATGTCCGCTATGTTTATGCAGAGCAGACACGGACACAGCCTGCTGTTCTTTATGGGGTGGTCGGATGTAAACAAACTGCCTGTCTGTTTTACATCCAGCTATCATCCGATCCACCAGATGGATGAGGAATGGATCTCCATCCATCTGTTTTTAGAAGACCGGATTGGATGCAGATGGGTGTAAACAGACACATGTCCGTTTACATCCTCCTCCCCATAGAGAACAATGGGTGGTCCAATCGGGTCCGTCTGAAAAATGGACAGGTGGATCCGGTGAGTCCACCCATATGATAATAGTTTTGCTTGTTGATGAAAGCTACATAGTTACTAATGTGATCCGTCCTTATAAAACACAATGCTGTAGCTGAACAATGCCACAGAGCATACAGCCCATTCATATGTCAAAAATTGGGACCTCCATAGGACCCCAAGGCTGTTAGAGCGATTACCTGCCAATGAGCATGAATCACTTTCAGGTAATTATTCCATGAGTGAATACATGAGAGTGTCTGTAAATGGCTGAAGGAATCAGTCTCATTGTTTTCAGTGGGGCTTCCTGCCCAAAGCTAATGACCAGAAACCACACTGGGTCTCCTGCATCTAATCACAAACGGTTATTTGGTTGGTTCAAAGCATGGATGCAGTGCACTGCTAGAGTGTATCCAACACAAAAATGAAATCTATTGTAGCCAGCTGGTCCTTAAAGTGGAAGAAAACCCGAGCTATGACTAAATGTTCCCTCCCTTTACCTATCCTGCCTACCTGGTATAAAAGTAACCTGTGTATTTACCTATTTTTAGTCTGCTCTGGTCCAGTCATCCAGCAGCTCTGTGTAATGGAGCGCTTGACAACGGCTGTGAATTCCAGGAGCCATGACGTCACCCATAGGCTACTATGGCCCAGCCGTTGGCACTCCCTCCTCTCCCCTGCAGCAGCTGTTTACTGACACACAGGGATTATGTGACTGGAGCAACTTAAAAAATAGGTCTGTACACATGTTCTTTAAACAGGCTAGGCAGGATAGGTGAGAGGAGGGGCGGTGGGAACATTTAAAAAAAATAGTTATAGCTAGGCTTTTCTTCCTCTAGCCTTGTCACACTTGCCTGTTTCAGTGCACCAAAATTTGCGTTTTGTTGTTTCAAAATACATTTCAAGCAGAAATCCTATTATTCCCTATGGGACTGGTTCACATCTTTGTACTGCAGTTCAGAAGGAAACGGATGCTATATGGGCCTATTATATTAAGTGTTACTAAAGGCAGAATTTGTTTAAAATTACAATAACAAAGAAATACTCACCTGCACTATGCTGTGGTATTGCGTAGAGCGGCTCTGATCCTCCTTTTCTTTGGTCCCCTGCCATCCATCCAGGGTCTTCCTCTTCTTTGTGTGTCCCCATGGCGAACCGTTTGCTATGGGCATGCACCCTGCATGCTCGCTCCTGACCTGTGTCTACAGAGCGACGCTCCATAGACACACACAGCGGGACATAGACCCCCCCCCCCCCATGTCCTCCTCACTGCACTTGATTGACAGCAGCAAGAGCCAATGGCTCCTGCTGCTGTTCATGTCCATGTGTGAAGAGGAAGCGAAGGGATGCAGCCATGCACAGCGCTGACCTCTTCTCCCCTCTCTTCCCCTTTGCACAGGGGGAGGACAAGGGAATAAAAAACATTTTTTTACCCTAATGCAAGCAATGCATTAAGGTAAAAAAAACGTTTTAAGGCTTAATATCGCTTTAAGCGGCGCATTATTTTGTGCACGGAACCGTCAAGTCCAGCTTTGGAAGTGGTGTTTGCATTCGCTGCTTTTATTTTAGGCTTTTGTTACTTTTATTTGCAATAGGTTGTCCTGTCTTTAACACACTTCCTATCTTAGGGTGACAACCCTCACTGAACAGTAACTATGAAGGAATAGCCTTGTCACCCTAGGACATGAGTATAGAATGCCTCGTCCTCTCCCCATCTGCATAACATATAAGGGGAGGTGTTCTATAGTACTAACACCCTTCGTATAGCATTGTTTGAAAACACTGCAGAGTACACAGAACAGTGCAAGATTTCTGGCAAGATCAACGTTTTAAGGCAGCACCATGGCAGTTGAAGATCAACGCAGAGGCTAAAGCTGGCCCTACACATGTAGATTTTTGGACGAGACTATTCGTAAGAAAAGTCGTACAAAAATGATTTGAATATTCAATGAAGGTCGTTTAAAAATTGTCTTTTGCTTTTAATGTTCAACATTAAAATGAATGTAATTTCTGAACGTTAATCATATACACTGGCGGAAAATTTGTTTGACCGAGAACAGTTTTTCTTCTGAACCCTTCGAATTTTCCCATCGCTGCTGTTGAAAATTAACATTGATTTGTCCCCACTAACGATTAGAAAATCAAACGAATATTTTTGAAACAAAAATTCTTGAATGAAAATCTATACATGTATTGCCAGCTTAAAGTGTTACTAAACCCCGGACCCTGCATTCACTACATCTGGTCTCCCACAGTACATGGGAATGCTATTATTTTAGTAAATATAAACCGCTAAATACCTTTTCTAATCAGCAGTATATAGCAGTCTTGTGATTTTGGCAGAGCACTGGTTAAAGCTTGTAGGAGGAGCTTTCTTTCTGCTCTAGGAGGATGCAGAACCCCTGACCTCTGTCTGGACAGTGCTGATGGGCCATGTGCTGATAACATGCACTCTCCCAAGAAAAAAAAAAACCTCTAGCAATACACACTAAACTGAGCACGTGCACGTGGCTACGGGTTCAGTCCGTCTTATCTGGGGGACATCTGAACAAGAGGAGGAACAGAGAAGACAGAATCAAACTGCCTTTTTACACAATGCAGAGGATTAACCCCTTAGGTTCCACAGTGAGTATAACAATCATAGTGTACTGCATCTTCAGGCTGATTTTACTGTTGTGGGTTTAGTAACACTTTAAGATGGCTGGAAACGATAGGTTTAGTTCATCCTTAACCTATTGATGTAACAGTTTCTCAAAACAATTACATTCAAGGCAGTCTAATGTGATAAGTGATAACGGTCACATTTGGTTGTGCTCGTAACCGAACTGTCAATCCATCAAATGCCCGGAGTCATCGCTTATCATATGTGCAGCACCAGGTAAAACAGGAGCTAAGATGGCAGCTTCCTTGGCTGTAAAGGATTGGAGGGTTTAGTTGTGCTTTAAGGAGAAATTCCCATGCGTGGTGGATGCAATGGTGTTGGTCAGATGGGCAATTTCAGTGTTCAGTGTGCCCCTGCCTCATTTTCAGCCTTTCTCTATCTGTCAGTGTTGCAATGAATGGGTTTTGTGCTCTCAAACCAACCAAAAAGTTATTTTATCCGTTTGAACGGAAATGCAAAATTTTCTGCAGTTTTCAGTTGAAGGGTACTGGAAATGTCTCAATATATATATTTTTTTTACAATGACATTCAAAAATGTAATAAGTTATAGTGATGGTGGTCTGGAAGGTTTGCCAATATGCTGACCAGCTCCTCTAGACACCCAGAATGATCCGGTGTCTGTCTGCCCTGCTAGAAGACCATTTGGGGTTAGAGGAAGGAGTACCTTCCTCCATCATGAAATAATGTGATTTGAAATAGATTTTTAGTTTTCATGTTGAAATGCTACTTTAGCTTTTCTGAGATTTCCCCAAGGTCAAATCATAGGGCATG